AGCAGATCTAAGGCACCCTGGGGCCCTTTGTGGGTAATAAGTTTAATAGTTTCATCTCTCAAATTGCTCTGGTAGAACAATTGTTCAATTTTTTCACACCCAACAAAAATGTGTATAAAATTATAGAAAAAACAGCATCACTATTTGCACACAACAGTACATAAATAAAAGTTTATATTAGAACTGTTGCAGCATAGGTACTCTAAATGATTCAAATGCCCATCCTCTTTCATCCCTTTCATTCTGAAGCAAGGGACAGACAGTGGACAAGGCAACATCATTTCTGCTGCTTCTGTTCTCATCTCCCTAGACTCCTACCCTGAGACCCTCTCTCTGAAAGGATTTGGAAGTTCTCTTAAGTTTTCCATTTTGCATTCTAGATATGACATTTAAAAGGATCAACTTGTCTGCATACTGGGAAATTACAAATGATCCACAAAGATGCCTCATTTTATGCGTGGTTGGGTCTAACCCCAATCACTATCATGAGAGAAGGTCTTAAGAAATCACCTACTAAGAAAGAAAATTTAAGGGGACCCTCCCAACCTAATACAGATAAGAACAAATTCAGGAAGATTTTCAAAACACTCAAATACATATATTGTAATGTTTCAGGACCCATGCCAGGTGTTTGATCTCACCTGAAAGGATAGTGTACTATTACTTAGCCAAATTTTAGCCTCTAAAGGGAAGGAGGCCACCCTAAAAGCAATGTGGGGAAGAGCTACATCTTCCCATGTCTCAACAACATAGACTATGGTGAGCCTTTTTGTTTGCCTGGAGCGTGAGCAATTTCCTGGGACAAGCTGGTATCTGGGTGATGAGCAGGATGCCTGGAAAATAATTGTGGTGGGCCTTCAGGAAGTTTCTGCTCTTTTAATGGAGGGACTCAGGGAGACCATGCATGACACCCTAAATCCTAAACCTATGAATGGTTGCACATTTTCAAAGGATAGATTTATCATTCAGTTGGCCCCAGGAACTCAGAGGAAATTACAAACTTTGACATATGGCCCTGTTCAATCCTTAGATGTTACCCCACAGCTTGAATAGAGATCAAGTAAAAAGAAACAAAGAGCACAGAGACAGGAAAAGACTGAAGTGCTAGTCTTAGCCCCAGAAGGGATATGCTTCCTGGGTGGAAACTTTACCCCCCCTCTAAGTTATTAGCGGGCTTTGGAAGCCTCAATGACATTAAAACAGGGCCTTACTTCAAGCCCCTGACCTCTGAACTAAATTTAATCTGTTTGTCACTGAGAAAAATGATCCTAAAAATAGTCATCCTCAACATATTAACAGGCAGCCATAAACAAACCAGCTCAACAGTCCATAGCTTATCTCAGTAAAAAAAATAAAAAAAAAAACCCAAAATCAAAAAAAAATAAAAAAAAAAAAGGCCCCAAAAAAAAAAATAAAAATTTTAAAATTATAAAGTTGTACATAATTATTTGACCTAATCTTACTACATTAAGTCAAGGTATTAAATATATTCATGCAACTATATATTTATATATAAAGATTATTTTGATGTAAGTCCCCTAAGATATCATTGCTAAGTCAATGACACATAAAATTCTAAATTAGATCACTGTCCTTAACAATATGTTGACTTATTTTTACCATCAATACTTAAGGTACTGATTCTCCATACTTAAATGAATAATAGGTTTAATAATAATAATAAAACTTTTTCATAGATTTGTAAGTAAAGACTATTCATTTTTCTATTTCATTTTTTATTCATGGCAAAAGAGAATATCTTTCCTATGCTTATTAAACATATGTACTTCCTATTCTAAAAAGGTGTCTACATATATTTCTCATGCCCTTGGTAAAAGCTACCTCTCCTAAGTTAAAACTTTCTCTTATCTTATTCCAAATTAAGATAATCTTTTAATTTCATCTAGAGTTAGTTTCAAAATATAAATTTTTATATACAACCTATTATATTCTTCATTTCATAATTCTGTTAAAGTCAAGATCAAATTATGCATTTGATTAAAATTAAGCCTCTATTTACCATGGTCTTTTTGCAACTCAATTATGTTGGCCCTGACATAGCTCCTAATTGACTCTTGCCAAGTTTTCTGCCAAATTAAAATCACACATCCCTTATTATTAAAATACTTGTACTACATTAAACTATTGTCTATACCTCAAGATTAATAATATTATAATTTTGCTAGATTTTTATTCAATTTTAATAAACAAAAGGGGAAAAGCAGGACCCTAATGCCAAAACTAAATCTCATAAAATATTTTAAACATTTTTCCTTAATTTTGATACTAATCATCTTATTGCTGCTGCACATGGTTCAGTAAGTTAAATCAGATTTCAAAGGATGGAATTCAAAACTGCCATCATGGAAACAGCTGAAAAACCGGACACAGGCAGGTAAATCCAACCACAGAGCTGACAGCCTTGCAG